TGAAACTAATGAGGACAAGTGCTGCCCCAAAACATTTAAAATGTTCAGCACAAAACACTTACATACTGAAGAAAGAAGTGATAAGGACAAACACGGACGTACACACTGAAGAAAAAAGTGATAAGGACAAACACGGATGTACACACTGAAGAAAAAAGTGATAAGGACAAACACGGACGTCCAGCTGATGTTAATTAGCCATGTAAAAATCTATGCCTTACGCACGTGACCAAAGCCTCACCTATCTGTGCAAGTAAGCAATAAACTGCTCATAACAAAACATGGCTAAAAAAGATAATACCTCTTGCAAGTGAATTCAAGTAAGCTAGTACTTTTTGTGTTAATGAAATAAATTGTTGGCTGATGCAGCTTCTTTTAGCTGTCACCACAGCCTCAATGATGATTCTCATGCTATCATTTGAGTGAAGGGCCAGCATTACTGATTTGCTGAACCAGAGGCACCTCTTGCATTCCGAGCGATGAGGTACCAAGAAAACATCACTGCCTTTTTGCATGTTTTACAATATTCTAGCAAACAAACATTGAGGCATCTGCCAGCCTGCCCAACATAACTCTGCCCACATGTCAAGGTTATATCATATAGACCTTTGGCTCAGTTAATAAATTTCTTTTGGTGCTTAATTTTACAAAGCATCGGGTCTGGTTATAATGTTTCTGCAGGACTAGTTTTGGCACATAACTGCGACAGCTTAAGTATGGAATAAGAATTCGCCCGCACCTATACCTTGCTTTTGATGCAAGAATGCGAATGTTCTGTTGAAATACTGTTAAACTCAATTTAACAAAGGTGGTAGCATTTTTATTTTAATTCATTGTATTTATGGAGACTTTTTATGGAACTTTTTATGGTAATGTGGTAGAACATGATGTCACAATCACAATATGTGGGAACTTCATGAATCTCAGTTTGATATGAATTTGAAGCATTCCTTGGCCGAAATACATCGTGTGCACTGTCAAAAACATCAACGGAGTCCCAATGCATGAAAGCACTGCTGCAAATCATAGTGGCTGGTGCTACGAAGTACTGGTCTTTCACTTTGTCAAGCCCACACTGAGCATTGTATTTTGAATGCCACTGATCTGATAGTACGAAGTGGCTTTCAAGGAGGAAAAGGAAAGTGCCGCGCCGTAACTGTCTCTCGCGCATAGGAGGACACCTCAATAGCACAACACAGGGGATGGGTTAATGGGAATAAAAGATTGAGGAGAAAGGAATATAAGAAGTGATATAGAAAAAAAAAATAAAGTGGGAATTTCTTGGTCTGCCTTCCTCAGCACGCGTCCAAACCACAAATATAGAAAAAATAAAATAAAGTGGGAATTTCTTGGTCTGCCTTCCTCAGCACGCGTCCAAACCACAAATATAGAAAAAAAAAATAAAGTGGGAATTTCTTGGTCTGCCTTCCTCAGCACGCGTCCAAACCACTGCACGCACAGTCTACCGGGCAAGCCGCCAAGAAAGCCAGGGCAAGAGTTATGCACACGGTTTAACACTGGTAAAAAGAAGACAAGCAAAGTTTTCCGAACTAGCGTAGTAAGTCCGGTTGGCCTCCATGGTAGCGCCGCTTCAGAGAGCTAATTTGAAGGTGCGATGACGTCGTGAGTGAGCAGGGCCGCAGCACATAATCCATGAGCGTGAGATTCCGGTGGGATTACTGCAAGCACAGTGCGTAAGGCTGCAGCTAGTGCGGCCAGGCCAACATGTCCTCCTTCAGATTCTCTGCAGGAGCTGGCATGCTCTCAGGAGGCAGAAGGGTGGCTACCAAGTTGGTCGGTTTGCCACTGGCAAGAGCATCCGCTGGAGCCGGCGACAGTACTATCATGCTGCACAAGAGCAAAAATATGGCAAGAAGGAAAAGAAGTGTGGGTTCGCACAGTTTGTAATGACATGCACACTGGATCAATGCTGTCTTTCCATTCCCGTTGTTGGAGCTCTTGCAATAAGATGCATTGAAAGCAAGGTTGGGGAGACACAAGTGTTGGTACAGTGATCAAGGGTTTGCCAGGGCCAGGAGCAAAGTGCAGGTAAGACTGCATCTTCTCGTGGCCAGCTGAAGGGGCTGTGCTGGCTTTTGAATTGGCTGAGCAGGGCAGTGTTGTTCACATTCCTCTAAAACAGGAACGAAAGTTCGATTCTTGTTCATTCCCAACAAATGCCAAAGGAATGCATTGCAGCTGCACTTCAAACATTGGAATGTGTCATTACTTTTTCATTGCGTTTGATTCTCTGAATTATTATAGTGTTCGATAATTTCAAGGCATCTAAAGTGAGCACTTTGAAACTCTCATTGAGCTACGTATATCATTGTAGAAGTTCAGGGTTTAGGGGGAAGATGGAACATTGAAGTGATTAATAATCTTTGGAACAGGAAGAGTCGCCGGAGTCAATGTTTCTTCTAGCAGTCTTGTCTTCAAGACTGTGAGTTGCAACCTCGCAGAAGACAAGACCGCTTGTAGAATTAGCTCCAGTGACACTCCATGAGTAAAGTTGGTTTCAGCGACACTCTGCATTCCAAGACTTTTTTTTTACATAATGTGTGAATTCAAACATCTCTGGCTGAAGATTGACTGAATATTAAAAGCACTTGTGTTTTTTTCTATTGTACCTAGATAATTTTTCTGTTTTGCTGGGAGCAATATACATATGATACTCCATACATATCTAACTGCAACATTGGTGTTGCCCTGTAACATGCGCAACACATATAGCACTTTCTTCAGAAGTGGTAGTAGAAAATTACTCACATGCACTAATATAATCAAGTTTTTCACACAAGAAACTGCACCGAAAAGAGCAATGCTGATTTGATATCACACAATATGAGTGGGAGAAAATGTCTAGACTATGCAGATATTTGCAGCTTAGTAAAGTCACTTATTTGAACTTGGCAAAACGTTGCATTTTATTGTTGGGGTCTTACAGGTAAACTTGTTTTATCATGAGCACTTCGCTGGCAATGTGCGAGCGCCGTTGCAGCGAAGCAATTCAGGGTGCTGCTGTGTTGTTCTTCCGGAAAAGTTAGTTCAGTTCCTCGAAATTCTTCTGTGAGAGCATGTAGTCAACTTGCATACAAGCATGTTTTGCTACAGCTCATCCTTCTCGACTAGAAGGGTTGCAGTGTGGTTTACCTTTGTGGTTGAAGACTTTTTATGCATGGGCCTTGTGGAAGCTTTTTTTCAGCAGGGCCCATGTGAGGGAAACTTTATGGCAGAAACGAATGTCTTAAATTTCCTGTGCTTCCAATTGTATAAAATTTAAAAGAGTACAATGATGCAAGCAAAGGTCGGTGAAAATTGTGCAGCTCACTCGCTCACTCACTCACTAATGAAATATCTTTTATGCTTTGGACTCACTCAGACTCACCAAAATTATTCTGAGCCAGACTCACTTGGACTCGCACTCACAGAAATATTTCTTCTACCGGACTCACTCAGGCTCAAACTCACCAAAATAAGACTCACCCGGGCTCCCTCAGACTCAGACTCACGGCTCGATTTGAGTCTGAGGGATTCAGAGATAGTCGACTCACGAGTCCCTTAGCTTAGAATTAGCTTGTTCGACTATAGTTTCAGTGCTCTTCAATGAGCGGTTGTAAATGAGTAAGGACATTTTTCTTGAAAGAGATGACATTATATATTTATCGAAAGCTTCCCTGGGAAAATTGGCGGGGGGAGGTTAAGGTACCCCCTTACGTAATTCATGTCTCGGATCACTGAATATTGAAATGATGTATAAATGATTTTGGCATACGTGTGAATAGACGTGACTTGAAAGGTGAATTTAGGTAAGGCTGATATTGGTGCTAAAGATGACTAGACGAGGTCATAGGTCAACGAAAATAAGTGGAGATCACTTAGACTCACTCATGAAATATATCTTGCACTTTTGGTTCACTCAGACTCAGACTTGTCCAAATTTTCCTGAGCTGGACTCACTCGGACTCACACTCGCAAAAATTTTCTTCAACCGAACTCTCGGACTCAAGCTCGCCAAAATATTACTGATCCGGCCTCACTCGCGCCTCGATCCAAGTCTGACTGAGTCGACTCATGAATGAGTTCACTGGCCTATAATTGCAAGTACCTGTTTGAGGTCTACAAACTTGTAACTAATAAAAAAATGCATAGCAAATAGCATTATTTTGGCCGGTAGACTGTTATCAAAGGATCAGCCTGAGACACCAATATTGTCTGGTGTCCTACAGTAGCATCTTGTTGATACGAATTTCAAGGGGGAGCAAAAATATTTGTATCGTGCGAAGTTTCGTATCACCACAAAACTAGCAAAATCTATTTTGAAAGCACAATATATCACGAAACATGCATTCCCGTAAAAATAATACACTTGTGTCTTTATGGGACACATGCAAACGTACCACTAAGTGATATTGGCTGTCACAAACGCACGAGCATAAGCTTCGTTTGAGCCCTACTAAAGACTAAGTGCCAAAGTCTGCTCCACCGTAATCATTAGCAAATTGCAGGAACTCCAAAATACTCTTTATGACTTTATTGCCTTTAACCTATTGCTGCGTTAGCCATGCGCCTTCAGAGTTGCGTAGTCGCTATTGATAATAGAGTTGATATTGACTGCAGTTGTGGCAAGCAGCATCATCTGAACTCAGTGAGCATTGATAGCTTGTGCACTTTAGCATTTTGATGTCATCATAAATGATCACATCACTGATGATCATTGTTTCATCCACAGTAGTTGTGGCAAACGATAACTGCTGTTTTGACTACGCTACCTGCATGTGCCTCCAGTGCACGCTGCTGTAGCCATACTTGACAGTTTCACCACCATAATTTGTATTGCCTGTCATAGCGTAAAAAAGTGTTTGGAAAATCATAATTTTGCCCAATTGGAGACCATGGAATTCAGCCTAGGATATTTGTGAATTCATATCAGACCGAAATGCGTATCAGTCAGGTCTGTCTCACTAATATTCTGCTGTAATGGTCTTTTCCTTTGGCAGCAACTGGCAAGTGGGAAGAATCGGAAGATGATCTTCTCAAGGAGGCGGTTGAGTGTCAGACTGGTGATGGCAAGAAAAAACTGAAGGACATCAACTGGCAGGCAGTTGCTGATCATGTACGAAGTCGAAGTGCAGTTCAGTGTAGGAGGCGGTGGTAAGTGTGCTGTGAAGTAGTTTGTTTGCCTTGGACAACGATTCCCATCTTCGCGATTCCCACCTTTGGTCTGCCTTTTATGTTGCCACGTGATGTCTACAGTTTGTTACTGCAAACGCACTATCATTTGTTGCATATGCTCTTTTCATTGCACGCGTAGACCTGTGCACCCACTGTGTTTCATGACGCTACTGCCTGTTTTCTGTGTTGCCTTCTGTGTGATGTATCGATAAGGAGCATCACATTTTTCACGCTTGTTTGAAAAAAATGCACAGCTCGAAGCGGCGGTATTCATTTTACGCCTACCATCAGTAGTGCCTGTCGAAGTTACCGCTGAGGATTCTTGACACCTGTTCAACTAAATAAAGGAGCTACCTCGCAGAAAATTTTCCGGTTTTTGGTGCACTAGTCACAAGACTACGTGACAATATACTGCATGGATCTAAGTTTATAAAAGTTAATTTGCTAAAAGGAAAGTGCAAGGGCTTGCAGTACTATTGTAAGGCAATATTCTAGTATTGTTTCTAAAATAGTATTCAAGTAAGGCCTCATTTGATTAAACATGCAACTTTCATTGCTCTAGGCTTGTGACTGTATTTGACATTTTCAAATTTTTCATTAAATATTATATTTACACTTGCTTAAATGTTACGATTCAAAGGTTTTGAAGTGCGCAAAATGAACAAATAAATGTAATTTCGCGTATACAACCCACGTCAAGGTTTTGTTCCGTGAGAGTGCAGACCTTACTGCCATGAAGTCAAACCTTAAAGTAAAGTTTATATAAAGTCAACTTTAGTAATGGATGCAAATTTATGAAGTGGACACAGAATTTTTATCGATGCAAAATTTATGAAAATGAAATCTGGTTGAAAACTGTGGTAACCTTAAAAAGTTCCATGTTTTACCACATGACATATAACTCCCACCTCTCGAAAGAGCTGTCTGTTGGGCAAATTGGTGCTTTCACATAGAAAGCATCATAAGAGCGCAACTAAACACAACACACAAAAAGAAACAGGCGAGGATAGGTGCACCCTGTCCCCTGTGCGCCTGTTCTCGTCTGTTTCTTCTTGTGTGTTGTGTTTAGTTGTGCCCTCATGATGGTTTCTAACAGGATAGAAAAGTGAGCTAGTTGGTAGTTCATAATTGTTAAGTGAACTGGGAATGCAGGGGAACACACACAAGACGAAAAGAGGCACACAGCATGAGTGCTCACAAACTGCTGGTGTTGGTGAGCGCTCATGCTGTGTGCCTCTTTGCTTCTTGTGTGTTTTCCCCTGCGCTCCCAGTTGGCTGAATTATTATGGTTTCTAACTGACACCCTCTCATATAAGACCAGAGTTTTTTAAATCTATATTCATAAACCTTGGAAATAGCTCATGCTGAAGGCTCAGAATGAACTTTGCTGTATAAGTGTAAACTTGATTGCATAATCTCTATATAGAAGATCTTAAAATATTTTTGAACTAAATGGAGTTGCAACTAACCATTCGATAAGAAAACATTTGAGGAATACAATACAGAAATGTTCAAATGTTAAATGGGCAAATGCCATGGTTGATAAACAGTGTTAACTATTCAGTGAAATATTGTTCCAGCTAGGAACACTCAAACATTTTATTAAGAATCTTTGAGCAACTTTTAAAGAATGTCAGATGAAAAAAAAAAGGGGGGGGGGGTACAAAAGATAAGCCATGGAGGTGCTTGAAGGTATTATCGTAGTCCTTAATACTTTTACTGGTCATAAAGCTTCGGTAAAAGTTTGATATAGGGACAAGAGCAATCGCTAGAGGCGCCCATGCGGGGGCATCAGAGCGGTCCCAGCACTGCAATTGTACGGCAGGCGCCCGAACTGTGAAACACGATTAACTGTACCCGTGAAGGTTGATTTCGTCTTTAGAGTGATGTTACCTTTAAGGAAATTCGAGGAAGCTCTAGTACAGTAAAATTTAGCGTCGAATGAGGCCTTGAAGCTAGACATTTGGCGGCAAGCAATGTGTTCTGCTTCCACTGTAAGATATGCTACCACTATAAAAAGCATGCTTTCTTTTCTTTTCCTGGAGCATCTAGTGAAAATTTGTGGACAATACAGAGTTTTTAAACGACTCTGGGGTATTGTAACATGTCGCTGAAGTGCAGTAGTTACAATTCTTGACAGCGCATATTCAATTTTTCAGGCTATATATATTACTTTTTCTGTTCCTATATCTTGAAATGGTTTCACAATTATCAAAGCAACACCTACTCTGAATGAATCATTGCTTTGAATTTAGCAAGTGATGAGGATAGTGATGAGGAAATAGACATTTGCCTATAATCTGGTCTCTACTCTTGACACATTGATACTGAAAATTACCTTTCCCCACTTCTACAGCTTGCACAAGTTTTGTACAGTTTTTTGTTGTATCGTCTCTTTTGCCGTTTCCCTAGCAAGCTTCAATTGATAGCACAGAAGTCTCTGTTCCACGCAATGGATGTGTGCTTGGAATTTTTCAAGCTGTGAAGAGCCGCATGTAGCTCCGTCTGATTGGCATGCTACCTCTACACCTTTGGTCATCTCATTGCCTGTATAAAAAAAAAAAAAAACAGCGAGCATTTGACTGATCGAGCTTCTCTATTACTGGCACGCAATAAGGGAAAGGCGACCAGTATGCTCACCTTCATTCACAATGTCAATATTTACCACAGTTGTGTCAAAGGGGCTCGTGCATATTGTCAATGCAGTCTCGACAGTTTCTAGCTCAGCTGATGGCTTCTGGCAATGCTTGGGAGGTGGGCGAATCTAGATCTTTTTGCACTAGACAAATATACACCAAGAGGCTGTGCAAAATCCTCGGCATAGCGTCCAGCAAAAGTTTCGGAACATTGTGCAGCGTCCTCTACACTCATTCAATTAGCCACTAGTTCGCGCAAAATATCCGACTCTCATCGAAGTGCTTTTCTCACACACGTAATTGCCAGGGATCAAATGTGAAACCGCCAGTTTCTTGTCGCAGTATAGCGCGTGCTTCCACTTTTCCTGCTGTTTCTAGGCAGCCAAGACATAGGCACTTTTTTTTTTTTTTGTCATTTTCCTTGTAACCAGTTCTAGACCCATGTACGCCTCGTGTACACGGCATCCTTTTCTGTATTGAGGCACAACATGCACAACGCCAAACATACGATAAAAAACTCCCGGTGACAAGTCACAGTATGCGTCCACCCTCTGCCCAATGCCTCCGGTGAAAATGCAGGGCCACCCTGCAGCCTCCACCTGACAGCTTCCACCCCGCAGCCTCCGCTTGCAGCGCAGAAAGCTCTACCTTAGATTTACGGTGCAGCTTCATGACCAGTAAAAGTATTGAAGAACTCCAGAAAAATGTGTGCATAAAAGCGGTATAATACCACTATCTAAAGGTATTCATAGTGTGGCAGATTTTATACTTGGTAAAAGCGAGGCACGTATAACAGGGTTCTCTGTGACCAAAGATACGCAGCATTGCATAAAAGCTTTCTGGGTATCCTGGGATAACAAAATATGACATAAAGTTCAAACTTTAGAGTTTAACTTAGCAGGAAACTAAATTCCTGATGAGGTAATATGTAACTTACAATTTCTGTTCTTGGTTAGACCAAATGGCTTTTGTAAATATCTTTAATTAGTTCATACAGCGTGTTGTTTAGATTATTGTGCTGCAGTCAATGCAGTTCACCTTTATGTGCAGTGTGAAAACGCTTGGTACTAGTAGCCATCGTGTTATTTCCTAGTCTTTATCGTACACAGTGTTATAAAAATCTTCCATGCGATAATAACTGGTTGTATAAATGTTTGTGAATACTTGGTGCCCATTTTTAATTTAAATATTTAAATTGCACGTGGCTAGTCAGGCATGTGTGAAGAAAAATGAGCCTTCTGTACTGTAGCCTGTACACTGGTATTCAACCATTTTCACTTGCTCGAATGCTTGTTCTTGTTTCTTTACTGTGTTCACTCAAAGGGTATACAGTTAAATCTGCTCATAACAAACCTCCATATAATGAATTGCTCGATATAACAAAGTTTTTCGATTCTCTGTCGTTACTTCATAGAACCAAATGTATTTGCGACCTCTATCTAACAAAGTAACAGCAGGAGACATACTTGATATAACGAATTTTTGACACTCTAGGATTATTGTCCTGGATTTTGTCATTTTGGCACGAGCATGCATCTTCCGCGGTTGCTCCCCACCGCCGACGAAGTGGCGGGGGGGGGGGGGGGGCATGGTGCGCTCACAGCCCCGGAAACTGTCAGGCGAGAGCGAGCACTCATTATTGTGCGAGGCTGTGCGCGAAGCGTGCACATGCGCGAGGCGGGCACATGCGCGAGGCGGGCACATGCGCGAGGCGGGCACATGCACGAGGCGGGCACATGCGCAGATGTGTTGTCCCCCTCCCTCCAAACCAAAGGCAAGAAGACTACTTTTGTGTGGGCATTTTGACACCATTAGTTATTGTCAAATCTCGGCTGCTAACCCGCAGGTCGCGGGATCGAATCCCGGCTGCGGCGGCTGCATTTCCGATGGAGGCGAAAATGTTGTAGGCCCATGTGCTCAGATTTGGGTGCACGTAAAAGAACCCCAGGTGGTCGAAATTTCCGGAGTCCTCCACTACGGCGTCTCTCAAAATCATATGGTGGTTTTGGGACGTTAAACTCCACATATTAATCAAATCAATCAGTTAGCCTCACATATGTGAGTTTGCGCTGCATATGAAGTGCGCTTTACCGAATAGTTTTCTGCGTTACCGTGTCATTTCTGCATGGTTTCACTGCGCCACACGGTGTGGCCCCCAACAGCGTTCAGCTTTTTTTTTTTTAATGCAGGCAACCGTGTCGGTACTAGGGAGAGGACGTCAGATTAGGCGCCACTGGAAACTCTCTCACACCACAGTAACAGTGACGGAGCTTCGGAGACCGCTCCTCGAGTTCGCGGGACCGGAGCCTTTGCGGTTAGCTGATTAGCAACAACACAGCGGCACCATTAATGCAATGCAGTGAATTCGATAGCAACAAATGCAATGTTATACGAAGTAAGGCTGGCAGCCAACTCTTTAGGATCTGATATCGCGGAACTCCTATAAAACGTTGATGTAAGCAAATACGGTCGCTTCTGGGGAAGTGCTCTTTTCACACAGTCTCTTCATGTTGAAAGTGCACTGATGCTTGCAGAGATAGCACGCACGCCAGTGATCGTGACCATACCCTTTAAATCTAAGTTCACCATTGCTATACTCGAGCAAACCCTCCCCGCCCTCACGTTTTTCATGCTCGTTAAAGACGAATGATTTCCTTTTTGTTTGAACATTCGATGGCAATTCTAGATGTGTGAGGCTGTCATCGTATGCACCCACCAGGCGAAAGAGATGGGCTGGCTCGTTTAATCTCTGCTTCAACAGTGCTCGTGCGCTTTTACGCACTCGTAAAAGTTGCGAGGCGCGGGGGCATGTTATCAATTTGAACTTGTTACTGGATATGGCATCGACGGCAAAAACCCGCCGAGAGTGATCATATAATTGCTGTCGCAATAATAAGGCAGTTTTTTACCATTAAATATGTGTGTTGGGTTAGCACTGCCTTTATTTCCCCTTTTGTTTAATTTCTGCATTTATTTATCGAATTTTTGCACTAAACTTGCATATATTGAAATCTTCCTTATAACAAATTTTTCAAAGAATTAGTCAATTTTCTTGCATCCAAGTTTAACTTTGCCCATCACTGTTGCTGCTTTCTGCCACACTTAACACATTATCATTGTTATTTGGCGCCATCAAGCAAAGTAGTAGTCTACGTGTAGATACTGCTAATGTGTGTTTAAACTTCAAAAGAACTTTTTTTTTGCATGAGTTACTGCTTATATTGCTTAGTTACACTTGATTGTGGTGCAAAATACATTTCATGGAAAAGGCAGGAGCACAAGAATAGAAAGTGAAGTGCCGACACATGCGAGAGGCACAGTGTTCACGCTTCACTTTCTTTTCTTGTGCTCTTGCTTTTTTCATGAAATGTATCTTGCGCCAGAGACAAACGTACCTTTTAATACACACCGAAGGCAACCGAACAACACAGGCTAATTCGGCGCACAGGAGAATCCATTGGCAAAACTTCATTATTACCGTAGAGTGTCAGGGCAGAAAGCAAGGAGAATAGCAAAATGCCACCATTGTGCAGGGATGTTAAAAACTAGCAGGATCTTTTAATGATGTCATTTTTGTGGCATATGTACACATAACTTCTTGGGGGAGCCTGGCAAAGAGCACTTGTGTACTAACCTTCTAAGGTTCGAAAACATACATGTGCATCATTTGCTAACAGCCACAAGACAATCAAAGGCTTACATATACGTCATTGCTTGTATGTTTAAAAATTGCTCCTTTTGGATTATTTTTCTGGTTCGGGGTGTGCTGCCACATTGCGAGAATACATGGAATTTTTATCTAGGGCCAGTGTCTCTCTCTCTTTCTTCCTCTTTCTTTTTTTCTGATGCTTTACTACAGCGGCGCAACGGCTAGTTTCAGTTCCGTCCTTTGACCGGTTTTCACTCATTGGATCTTAAAAACTGATGTCTTTCTGGTTTAGAATCATTCGAATAGTGACTGGCTTGCCGCTTTTTTATTTATTGTTTCCTGGTACAGGATTATGCCTCTTTTGGGGCATGCTCTCATTTACACAAGCAATGCCAATTTTTTTGTGTTTTCTGTTTCGGGCACTCACAGAAACGGCTTGTCTCAGTGGCGATAAGATGAATGATTATAGTAAGGTTTCGGACTTTTTTATTTCTGGCTGTGTTCACAACTATGTACACAGTTTTCTTCAATGTGCTCACCCGCACAGCTTGCTTGCGCTGTAGAAGTGCGTGCTGGTTTCTCTGTCGTAAGCGAATATAGCAGCCACTCCTCTGAGTCACCGCTTGACTGCCGAATCGAAATCTGATTCAGTAAATGTCAACCAGTCATAGGAGGAGTTACAAGTTTAGACTCGCGTGTTGATGAGCTAGCGATATCTCGGAAGACGATGCTGACTGTATCAAAAGTTGCTTTTCTCCCTCTGCGTTTCTTCTTGATGCCACTTCGTGTGCTTACTTTAATAATAATATCTGGATTTTGATGTCCCAAAACCACGATATGGTTACAAGGGACACCGTAGTGGAGGGCTACGGAAATTTCGATCACCTATGGTTCTTTAACGTGCACCTAAGTCTAAGCACACCGGCCTCTAACATTTTTGCCTCTATCGAAAATGCAGCCGTCGCAGGCGGGATTGTATCCCTCGACTTTCGGTTTAGCAGTCAAGTGCCATAACCACTAGACCACTAAGGCTGGGCTCGTGCGCTTACTTTTGTACACCTGTTAACTACACAGACGTTTCTGGCATTGCATAACTTTTAACATTGGTATAGTTTTTTTAGAATTTATCTTGCTATTGTCATGAATAAACTAACACAAATGATTTTTTGTCACTTTATGGTGACCCGCCCCCCAAAAATTTGGTCTTTTTTTTTTCTTGAGTAGATTGTCTAAACAGTTTAAATCACCAATGAATAAATTGATCCTGGGGTGGATTGCATTTCACAAGAAAAATCGATCCTGAAAGGGTTAAAAATGACGTGTAACAAAGAAAGCAAATGATACAAGCACTTAAACCCTGAGTAAAGTAATAGTGACCTAATTACATTAAAGACCGAACTGATAAATTAAAGGGTGTATGCAGTAGCAGTCACATCAGCTAACAAGTTTAATGTGTGTGTGGTGTAAAGGTAAGAAGGAAGAATGTTATGTTAAACTTTTGTGCATAATTATAAGTCATTCTCTACAGTATGATGAAAATTGTAGGCTTGTGTGAATATTCGAATGCTTAGGTTATTCAAACAAATATCTCGATTTTGCTTCAATTTGAATTTAAATTATTGAAAATTTTGAAGTATTCGCAATGAACTAATAGATGTGTGTTAATCCGCATGTAGCCGCTTGTGAAGGTGGTTTCACTGTAGTGTAGAAGTGCAAAGCCGTGAAAGCACATGTCCAGGGGAATCAGCTCTGTCGCAAAGCCTCACTTCAAATTCAAAGGGGCCCTGCAACAATTTTTAAGCATGGTCAGAAAGCGCTCCCGATCGGTGGTTGAGGAAATCGAGAACACATGAGCCAAATATCATGACATAGCGTGCGGCCTGAAATTCACAATAAATTCTCGAAGTCAGCTAAAAGTTGCTCACATTCTCTGGGCAATTGATGCTACAAGTTCAAAAATCACTTCACACAGCCCATTGTATGAGCCATTGGCTGATTTGTGCATGGAGTGCTCAGTCGTTACTGGGGCCACCAGGGGAGGCTGTCACTAGTACATGCGTACGTGCACGATTACACTGAAAAGCCGCGTATTCGAAAAAAAAGAGAGAAACTGTTCAAGGGTCACAAGGAGCATGTGACCTATTTACTTTCACCATGCCATCTCTCCCTGCTTAGCTTCCAGCTCTTTCGTCAGGACGAGAGAAGAGAGAATGTGATTGCACCAGGGCATTCATGAGGCAATAAGCTTCTTTAGTGAATCCATTCCATGGCTACTTGAAAAAGTGTTGCAGGGCTTCTTTAAATGAACATATTACGCTCAGATTGATTCATCATTTTTAAAGTTCAAAAGCTTATTATGACGGCTTATTGCTCTAAGTAAAATAAATTTTAATATGTTACATATTTTACAGTTTATCTCTCGCATCGTACCGCAAGTCAGATCCTGTCATTACTTAAAGTTGTTTCGACTTGCTTTGAAAAAGAAAAAAAAAGATGTTTGCCTAGAGGCTTTATTTCAATTTAAAAAAATATTGGGCAGGTTAGTTAGGTCATGATAAGTGTGACCCATTTTCTTTATATGTCGTATATACTATTGGAATTTGATTTGTAATTATTGGACCAAAATCACTATTTGCTTTGAACTTATAAGCAACTATAAACACAAGCCTAAGGAATTGCCATTATTGCCCTAGTAATTGCCTTAGAAATGTCTTAGAAATTGCCATTATTTTGCTGTTACAGTCAAACCCGTTTATAAGAGACACTGATATAAGAGACACCAGTGTGCCTTCATTGAAATAAGGGTTGATAGGAAAATGCATACATGGTACTCTGCTTATAAGAGACATCTCGTATAGAAGACAAGAACTGCTGCCCAGAGCATGCCTCTGATAAAGGGGTTCAACTGTATAACTAACATGGCTGTCCTGAACACTTTGTTCCCGTAAATAGAAAGGCAGTGACATCTCTTTACTCCACACCGATTGTTTCACCCACTGATACCCGTATTTCTTAGGTTTGCTTTTATTCAATGGCCGTAACTAAGTGTGCAAATACTATATAATTTTGTGGGTTAATGGATGTATTGTTAACACCATGGAAATTATATTGAAGTGGTTTATCGGTGTTGCTTTGCCCCCTTGTTCACTTTTAGGACCTTGAAACAGCTGAAATGTCAGCCTAAGAAGGGACAACGAAAATGGAACAAATTTGACTCTATTCACTTGATCTCCATGTAAGTCAGTTTTGTTTGATTGCTGCTTGTCTGTTTTTTTTTTTCTCACTTAAACCGGTCTGTTTAGTGGAGTTAGTTTGATGCACACTCAAGAATTTCGCACTGGCCTTGCCCTGAGATCCGAAGTGCGCTGGCCAAACGCCTCTACAACTGAAAAAGTAGTCCTGCTCATACGCTTGGCATTCTTCTCCGAAGGTGGGGTTACCCTCCACCGGTCTCATGGTATCAGTTGGGGCGATTGGGACAGACTTGTATACATCCATCTTTGAGGCAGAAATGCTGCAGAATGCTAAAGTTATATCTAACTATAGTTGCAGCAGCTGTGCCACATGTCAATAGCCTTTTTAAAAGAGTAGTCGAGGGACTCAATAAATATTTTCACATTATGAAAGACTGAATATTGAGATTAACACCCAATGTTATAGCTTAGCACCTGGGTTCTGTGCTACTTTAGTAGCAGGAGGATGCTGATTATGGGCATGAGCAGAATTTGTTCTTGGGCTGTGAAAAGCCATGTTGCATCGTAGTGGGGGACGGTGGGACCGCTGGTGTTGCTTGATTAATGGGCTCAGTCCTGTTATGGCTTGAGGGGGGCAAGTGCCCCTTTTGCAACCCCCCTCTGACGCCCAAAGCACTTGTTTACATTAATTCAGCTGCATATCAAAGACCCCTGGCAGTAAAATGAATCCTCTATGGTTTGCCTCATGATGACATTGCAGTTTTGGTATGTAAAATGTGATTCGGAGTCGTGGAAATATGCACTTTGCCAGCCAGTCTATTGTTCCCTTTGTTTAGGCAGTATTTCGGTACCACACCTGCCTTAAAAAAGTGACTTTTGGGACAGCTTCGAAGTATAAAATTGTTGGTAATTTCTTATTTTGTAGAGCCAATAATCAATAAATTGATTCACATCAAAATTCAAGTGCTTTAGTGTGTGCATAGTCCAACTTGAATATGCGTGTATCATATTGCTGTAGTTTATATTGTTTCAGTTATTTCCATTTGCATTAATGTTGTGCTCTCAGCATTTATTGTGAAAATTGTTCTAGTGTGGAATCCTGCCCCTTGTTGGGCAGGCCATTAGTGGAATAACATTTCCTTTCCTGTATAAAAAAAGATCACAAAAACACTATGAAACAGGCAAATGGAGGTCATGTAGTGCCTTGATCTGAGCAGTAATTACTTTCGTCTGTAGCATTCACAACCATCCTCTGTGGAGACATAGCATAAGTATTGCGTTTGTTCTTATGAGCATGAGCATGCTGGTTCAATTCCAGGCAACAGGAGCCAGGAGCTGCATTTCAGTGATGGCAAGAGGCAGAAGTGGCCATGACGTAGTATACTGTTACATGTGTGTGTAAAAGAATTCCTGTGATCCAAATTCATTTGAAGTGCCCCACTTCAGAATGCTTCAGAATGATACAAGACAGGCTGTAGCTAATCAAAGTAATGGATGCTGTTGCATACTTTGGAGTAGTTTCCCAAGAAAATCAGAGCAAAGCTGTATAATGTAATGGAAAATGTTTTTTTAAGGAATACAGTGGGCGCCACAGCAAATGCACGGGAAGCTTGTGGTTTTGGGGAGGGCCAAGATTTGCTGTTGGGCCAACTGAAAATTGGAGGGTCATTCATATTTGGTGATGGGCCAGTGGGAAAATTTGGGGGTAGTGAACTGTAGTGTTGCATGGGCCAGTTAAGTTCTGATAGTCCACCAACTAGAAAGTTCGGTGGTGGGCCAATTGGGAAGCTGGATTCTTGTATGTTCATTTAAGTACTCAAACGTACTTAGACAACTCATTTAGAGGCTCTGCGCTACTCTTTTATCAGGATGTACGTGCCAAATTGGCATTAGATAACGCATGTCCCAACAGTTATGTAGTTATGTAAATGGCATCTGTGGCATTACATGTCTCACCATGACACGCATATTTTGCATACATGAAATCTCAGCGTCAGTGTTCTTTCTTTTCCTGGTAAATTTTCTATCACAACAGGCACAGAGTAGTTGAGGCCTTCGTATCAAGAGCTCATGTACGTGCATAATGAAAATTGCGTCTTCAATACGTTGCATTGTTGTGTGCATCAACACATAAATTGTGATTAGCAGGGATGGGGGGGGAGGGCTGTGAATAAATGTCGTGCCCATTACTACTTAAAAAAAAGCTTCTTACATTAGGAGTCCTGTTGGCCATTAAAATTGAGGAAATCAAGGTTTCAAAACTGATATGTAATCACTCCTCTGTTCAGTATGTGCAGCTTTCAAAGCTTACTCATAAGCCTCAAATTTCTTGTGGCCCTCCTCCCCCCAATGTCAAAGAGCAGTTTGTGCAGAGTTGTGCAGCAGTTTTTTTTTTTTTTTTTTGCCATCCCTACTCCTCGTTTTAATGAATCTCCTGAATTTCAAGGTCGCCAGCTTGGAAGAGCCACATTTGAATTCACAGAGTCTGTGTCGAAGGATTCCGCTGGCACGGCAAATGCTAATGTGAACTTCCTTGTTAGCTCAGTGGGTTAATTCAGAATACTACTTGTATTGAAATAGCAGTGCTCATGTTTACTATGTACAATTTAAGTGGGCTGAATGCTTTGTATATGTATTTCTTTAAATGTAAGCCTTCTTTTTCAAACTGCTCCGAATTTGGTCTTTGATAAGAAAATTTTATCCCGTAACCTTCTCCAAATGTGCATTTCAGTGCTCTGAAAGTAGCATTTCGCTGCTACAAAAGTAGCTTCAAACTTTATTTTAGCTGTTGCACCCCTGATTGTCACAAAATTCAAAACATAGCAAAAACTGTTGAGAATGAGGAGCTTCCGCTTGCTGTCGGCATGCTGGCATAAAACTAGCTTGCTACATTGCAATGGACAAACTATCAGTTGCGAGCCATATTATTTGTGAGAGAACTGTCATACATGCCTGTAGTGATGTTGTGGTGTCGGTATGTAATGAGGGAGGGATGCAGAGTATGTTTGAGGCTAATTAAACATTTTAAGTCTGACGCTGTGGTTGCATTGTGAACGGATTCGCAGGATGATGAAAACTGCAACTTTTAAACTGCTCTCATGCAAAATAAGTACAAGATTTGCGTATTCATCAAGAAAATGAAAGTGCATTGATGTGACAGATTCTTTTAGTGTTTTCTTGATACCTTCTATAATTCAGCATGCAGTTAATACGGGCATTTTTTCTGGTCCTGTGTAATCATAATTACCAACATTTTGCTGTATAATAAAATCGATCTAATATTTGCAAATGTTGAATGCTCATGTAAGGTTGGTATTTCAGATCATTGGTATTTCGGATTACGAGGCACCAGAGAAAAGTCCAATCTAGCTGAACATCAAATAATCAAGAATACATCAATTAAATGATTACTACATTGGCACACTTTTAATAATAAACTAAATATATAAACAAAACAGCTAATTCTGTAATTATTTTGCATAGAATAAGTATGAAAGCTTTATACTCATCTTGCAACTTTTTTCCAAGTTGCATCTATGTGCAAATTCTGCGTCTCCATTTAAAATAGATTTTTTGTTACCATAGGCTCATCTTTTGCCAGGGTGTGAGCCAACACCACATCGCGTCTTTCACAGTGTAATAGCTCACAAATTTAATGCCATTGTGCGAGCTGTAGTAGAATCTCTCTTCATCCTCTGCGGCTTCTACCATGTATGTGGGCTATGTGTATACATGGCACCAAGTCAAAATAAGACTTTTGCGCGTCACATTAACTTCGACAAACTGGTTGCTATCTATGCTACAATAGAAAGAATTCACACAGTTCTGAAAGCATTTGAACAGCCAACACTCTTATAAGTCATAACAAAACTACCATTTTCTGCAACTGTTGCAGACAAAACCTAGGCTGCTAACAGTGTGATAATGGATGGCCACCATGCAGTTCTAAAGGCAGCTAACCAACACAGTCATATATGCTGTGGCAAATGCAAATAGGCATAAAGCATTCTGATGTTCCTACCATTCCTGTATGGTTCCTTCTGATGATTATGGTAATGCAGGCTGTGTCACTTTGTTTTGGTTGGATGCTAGTGCTGTTTTGCATCATACATTCGCACAGCTCAGCTCACACTGAATGTTTTGAAATTAACTGAGCTGCTAGCAAATATATGCAAATTAACAAGAGTTTAATGCCATTAAACAGTGGTGCAATAGCTGCGCCTATTGCGCCGATTTGATACAATTCCTCCGTTGTGCGCCGTGCTGCGCCGAAACCATGAAATTTGCCGAGATTGCGCCACGCTGCACCAAAATGCCCAACCATTCTAGAAATTTTTTTAGTTGCGCTAACTTTAGTGAGAAATGCAGGCCACGTTTGCCACCTGTAGTTTCTGCCATCAATCAATCCAAGCGGGCACATTCTAACTGTAAACTGCGGCGCAAGATATATTACTAATTACGCTGATACACACACCAAATGTGATCAACCAAAGGCCGGGCACCCATTAGTCGGCTGACGGCAGCGGATATCTGCCAGCTGGATGACGTAACTTCAAGACCAAAATGTGTTGCCATTGCCAGCAACACGTCACTGAAATATAAATTTACTAGTCAGCAAAAGCGGCTATCGCATGTTAGGAATCAAAGCTGGGGCGTACAATCTCAACACCCTGCGGACACCGGCTTTGCCGGCGACCACGTTAGTTGCCATCGCAACCCCATACGCAATAGCTATCCAGTGCCATCACTAGGCCAATGGGTGCGTGTTGTTGTTGCTTTATGCCAGCTATTCAATAAAGAGCTGTTGCTGGGAGTCAGGCAAAATTTATTCTACAAAAAATATTTCCAAAGATTAGTCGCATGTTTAAAGTATCGTGGTGGCCTTCTCAGCCAGTTTCCAGCAGCTTTGGTTTCGCTTGTATCGTTATATTAGACACAGGGTCGCATCTAGTGTCACTAGTCGCTCCTTTAGTGTCATCGTCACATGCGCATGGGCGCGCACCAGCGCTGCAAAACACACGCTCCGCTCGAAACTCTCTTG